ATAGCATGGCTGGCAGATAGTTTATTTATTGAGTTTAGGAATGTATTGTTCTGCATAAACACTCTTTCGCTCATAAACCTACACATAAGTGTTGTCAAAGCTTCCCAGCCTTTTACTTCAATTGGAAATGGAATTAAGATTAAATAATTTGTATGGCTTCACATTCCTGCCAAAAATCTGAGGTGTGTATAAACATGTATTAACTAGGAACACACAGGCTGGAACGTGGCAGCAATTCCATTCAACAGAGAGTGACCGGTTTATACGTTCCTCTGGCTTTTGGTAGGAATGTGATTTCTTTTCCATAAATTTCTTTAATATGAATTTGTGACTTACAGAACATAGAAATTACTATATTTATACAGTAGCTGATTTACTGCAGCTGTAGAGTTTATTCTGAAACAATTAAAAGTGTCTCATTGGTCTAACTTGACATTTCATTGACACTGTTCATACACCTGCTGTCATAAATTCCTTGTTTCCTGCCACGAATCATGTTGCCATTCTGTTCACAGCTCCTCCTTTTGCTGCTGATTAGCTCTTTGCTCTTACCTGTGCCTCTGCTTTAGTGCCGTGGAATACTGATTGCTCTCACCTGTGCTGTGGGCTATAAAAACTCCTACTCTACACTCACTCACAGTGAGATTGTTGTCAATCATTGAGTGGTTCTGTCCCATGGCTTTCTTATGAGAAGGTTCCAAACCTGTCGTTACCTCTGCCATGTTTGTACTATTAGTTTCGTGTATTTGAATATTGATAATTGCATCATTATTTCGGCTTGTTCTGCCTTCCATGTCTGCCTATTGCTGGCCTAAATTATTTGGCCCACCATTGAGTTAAAGATCAAAAGCACTTGAATCATTCATGTCCTCTAGGTAAGGCCAGATCAATGAAGTGGAGTGTGTGAATCACTTTACCCTTCTACTAAAGTTTTTTTCTCTCTTTGTGACATAGAGCACATAATTCCCAGGACAGAGTGTGTCCTTCGCTATAAGGTCTTGTGGGTGAAACAATCCCTGGACATTTTGCTTTCCTCCAGGGATTCAAAACAGTCAAGGTCAGAGTCACTGTATATCTGAGGAAAGCACCTGTCAGTTAAACCACTATTCACACAATTCTGCTTGTTTGCTGCCAGTCACTCACCATCCTTTCTTCTTCATAGAGTCTAACCAGATGGCTGCTATTTCAGCTTCTGCATTTCCTATTGTTTCAATAAACATTGCTTTGACCTTTCTTGGGTTCTGGTTTACATCTTGATTTCAACTTGTTGATCTGTTGATCTGCTTGTGCCTGCTTATACAAACGAGTGCTTTGCATTGTCCTTAAATTGTCTGTCACTAAAATTGTCTGAGAAAACTTAGGCTTAGATGGACATTATGTCCCTCTGACTTCTGATTATCACCCTTCAACAATCAACCAAACCTATAAACTGGGGATCCACAAATCTTGGCCTCAAAAGCTAACAGCTTTTATATTTGGCTCTGCTTCACCACACGCAAGTCAAGTGAGAAGGTCATTAACATGACTATGGAGAAGTTGACTGCATACCTATTTGCCAGGCAGCCATTTGATGCAGGCATGTTGAAGAAGGAACAAATCTAAAATTGGATTTGAGGACCCATCCTTTTAATGGTCAATAAGTACAAATGGTATTTTGCTACCAGTTACTTTGTTCATTCTCTGTACTGATCTCACTCTGGTATGCTCATTCCTTTTCTTTGCAGCTCATTGCTGAACCCTTCCAGTTCCTGCTTGGGCTCGTCCCTGAGTTTTGCTCCTGCCGGTCTGTCTCCATCCATCCTTCTTTGCCCTGGCTGCTCGGTCTGTGCCCTTGCTGCTCTTTTTTTCTGCTTGTGCCTGCTGCCTTGTCAATCTGGTTCATCTAATGAGAAAACACCTGCACAGTCAGTGTGTTCTGGCTTGAATAGAGTAATGGGTAATGGCCTAAACTTTAACACAAATATAAAATATATACATTCTCAAACACAGCAAACTTAAATAAGTCCAAAGTTTACATCCTCAGTTTCTGGCTGCCCTAAAGCTAGCAGGGATTTTTTATTTATTTCTCCACTGCACATTTGTGATGAGATAAACTCGAGATGATTATGAGAAGGTGCAAATTCTCTCTCTGCCACATTGTTTTTTTTGTTTGTTTGTTTTTTTAAGTCTCTATATTTCCAGTGCACATACACCAACTTTTTAAAATTTAGAAAGCATTTAACATCCTTTTTGCCATTTAAATCTGTGTCTGATGAGGAGGACAGATTAAAATTTAGTAGAAAATCTCAATTTAGCAATGTAACCATTACAGTGCTTTACAATGGTACACACACAGAGAGAGAGAGAGACATACACATCTAGCTTTAACTCCTCCAGGAATCGGCCTATCCGACAGCTGGGGCAGGGTCCCAGTAGGGGTACAAGCAATATAAATGGCGCTCCCAGTTCTCCATTAGTCTGTCTGAGAGGAAGATGTAGGGGGTGGACACACAGGGTTGGGTGAGGCTCAGGTGCTGAGCAGGCAGGTCTCCTCTCATCTTATCTAAGTTGTTGTACCTTTTGGGCAAACTGCCTCCATCCATCTTAAGCCAAACTAAACCCAAGAGCTACCTGGAGGCTAACTATCCAGTTCTGTTTTAGCCTTTGGACAGGAAGCACAGGTGTATTATCAAGTGTATTATAATGTGGTTTACAATGCTTTGTGTGTTCCTTTGAAATCAATTAGCTTAGTTTTGTAAGTTCTTGAAATACAATAGTCTTTACATTGGACTCATCTCTCTGAGATTTCAGCTTCATTAGGGATCTTGATGAATCAAGTGAACCAGGTCAAAGGAATATTTTTAGAAACTCAGAAATAGCATTGCAGTCCTGAGCTTTATTGAAACTCTTGGATAATTATCAAAAGATGGTATGTTTGCATAAAGAGGTTTTTCAGATCAGCCTTTTTGTATGGTATTTAGTTTAACTATTTTAACAATCCCCAGAGCCAATAGATCCCATCCTTGTTTGGTAATCTGGATTTCTAACTGAGAAGTGGTTTTGTGTACATTAAGCCAGAAGTGAGCAGGTTTCTTTGCTTGTCCCGGTGGCAGCAGGTGTGTAAATAACATCCCAATATCAAATACAGATAAATCAAAGAGCTGAAGGACTAGAACACACACTGCCTTCCCCTTCTCCTCCTCATTGCTCCCTCCCTCTCTCATTCATGTGCTGGGCCACTTGTTATAATTCTGGGTCTGTAGGCCGCATGTGTTGCAGCATAATTTTGCCAAGTGTCCTGCTTACATGCAGGCTAACAGCTGCCCACATCCACTGCTTCACTGAGCCGAATTACAAGCCAGCAGGCCTGGTCTGCCTGACATTATTGTTTCCTGTTAGGAAAATCAGCGCATTGCATGGTGGGAAGAGAGCAGCAGAATGGACCCAAAGAAAAGATAATTAGGAAATCATTTTATAGCAAAATGTCAGTCTTGCAGCGAGTTGCAAAATGTTGTCATTCTGTAACCTTTAAGGTTTTAGTACATTGCCACGTTAGAATGTGTATCACTTTCCTAAAATAATGACCTAAGTCTTTTATTGCCAAACATAATTTTGGGGAAAAAAATTTCCACCTCTTTCTTTTCAAAGGATGTTAAAGGTAACAATAAATACTTTAGGCAAAAACTTACTTAGGCCATTATTTTATAAACGTGACATGTAATGGTGTATTTTTCTGGGATGTTTTATTATAGACAGTCATAAATAGTAACTGTGAAGTGTGAACTTTTACTGGATCTAACATTTTTACATACATAAATCTATAGTGTGCACTATAATTTTGTTCAGTCCACAGAACAGAATACCTCTTTCAACTCTTTACAGAATTGAACAAAAATAATTTGTTCAATTCTTCCCACAGATCTTCAGTTGAATTTAGGTCTAGACTTTGACTGGCCCATTGCTTGGTCCATTCTACAAAAGATGCTGTGCTTGTATTTAGCTTAACCCAACTTCCCATCGGCTGTCACCTTCTTCTCTACATTTAATGAAGAAAAGCATCCTAATAGCATGATGTTATTGCATAGTGTTTTGCATACCAAAAAGTTCTGTTTTGGTCTCATCTCTCCAGAAAACATTTTCTTTCCCAAATGTTTTATGATTTCCCAATCTTCAAACATTTCCTAGAGCACTATTCAATTCATCATCCAAAAATGAAAAGCCAGCATACTATCAGTGGTGTCAAGCTAAATGTATGGGTGAGCAAGAAGACAATTAGAGAAGCACCTATGAGCCATCATTTCTTTGTAGGAGCTGCAGAGATCAACAACAAAGGATGAGAGAATCTGCCAATTGGACCTTTATTAGTCATGCAGGGGAAACAAAAAATATTTGGAAACATTTATTCTGCTCAGATGTGACTAAAATTTAATTTACTGGTTTACATGCAAACTAACAGTTAACATTACCCTGAACACATAATTAAAATAGTGGTGATCATAATGAAGGAATGCTTTTCTTCAGCTGGGACAGAGAAGATGGTTAATTGACGGGGAGATGGGTGGTGCTAAATCATGTAAATATCTTGGAATAAGCCTTGATAGAAGCTGCAAAACATTTTGCAGATAAAGACTGGGGTGGAGGACAACAACCTTAAACATAAATCCAGAGCTATAGAGGAATGAGTAATAAAGTTTTTAAGATAACAAATTAACAGTCATGACCTGCAGATCAGTGAAAGGATTGATTTTATCCAGAGGTTTGATGGTGGGCCATCCTTTATTTAGTCAGGTATGAAAACTGTAATTGAATTTTAGCATTTCATGTAGAAAAACTGGTGTATTTGTGTTTGTAACTCCCTGAGGTGCAGTTTCTTTAAATATGCACTCATCGATGTGCATGTGTGCACGCCAGCGTGCGCGCGTGTGTGTGTCTCACCTTGTTAATGAAGCATTCCCTCCCTTTTTCCCTCCCTCCGCCTCTGTCCTCATACATCGGAGGCTGTGCGCTGCAGCGGCCGCAGAAAGAGCCGCGGATCCTGGTGTGTGCCGATCTCCGGAGGGTCCCGGATAATCCAGCTGGACCCTCAGTGGACTGGATCTTCCTGCTTACCCATACTAAGCAGAAGTGGGGGGTTTCACATTCCGTGCGGGGATTTTTAATTCACTCAGCGCAGGTAAGCCGTTTTAGTACCATAAGTTTTCTTCACTCCGCGGACACTCACGTTTCCACCGAGGCTGATCCTCTAGGGGTTTGCCGTCTGAGAGTCACTGCAGATGGGGTTCAAATGATAGAGAAAGATGATGAAACAAGTGGAGGCGCCCAGAGATAAAGTGAATAAGTCGGAGACTGTGTACCCTGTTCCGCTCCTGTCTCTGCGCACATGGTTTCAGTTTAGGATGCGCAAGCAACCGAAGTTTTAGTGTAGTCACCTGCTGATATGGAGACTTAGTCTATTTGTTAGACTAAATATTGCATACGTTCTGCTCTTATTCTATATTAAGAATGCCACATTTAAATATTCTGAATGCGTTAATTTGCGAGCGAACCTGTTTCCAATGTGAATTGTTGCGTCTTTTCAGAGTTAATTCCAAGATCATCGGAAAACATTTGTGAACCGTAGTGATTCAGATAGAATACATATTAAAAGTCTTTTGTACTGCAATGAGGTTGGATCCTCAGGCCCCCACCTTCCCCAAGTGCGTCTTTACGCGCTGTCAGTTCAGTCGCCAAGGCAAGTGTCAAAGGAAAACAAAGGGAAACAAGTAAAAGAGTCATGCGTCCTTTTTGTTTATTTAAAATATTTATACCCTACAGAAACTTCTGGAAAATGAGTTTGTAAAGCAGATCAGATTTTCTGAATACACAAATTGATGGTTGTCTGCGCGTAATACTCAACCTTGTTTAAAGTTGACTGAAACCTCTTTATATCGCTCAGAGTTTGAACTCATACATTTTAAACGTTGGAAATGTTAATTGGTACAAGAAATCTTAAGTAGGCCTAAATGCTTAAAATACGCAACCTAGTCAAAGAATAAACAGACGCATCAGAGTTAAAGTCCTCAGTCGGTGTGCGCTCTCACTTTAGCTGCTGTGTAACTTCAGTTTTAAATTATGTTCACAGCCGAACTACACTGATTAAAAATACATTCACCCAAAAAGTTTGGTGAAATAAATGGCAAAAGTGTTGTCAATTTTAAACAATATATCTAAATACTAATGCAGCATAAATTATATTCTAATAAACTACTGTTTTCATTTTGTTTTCTGGTTAGCATTCTGTGTTGAAAGAGAAACAAAAAGCTGAGCAAAACATTTTAAAAAACTGAAAGAAATGAACTATTGTCATCTATTGTCAAGGAGACTTGTAAATCTTTTCCCTGACAAGATGCGGCGTTCATTGGTATTGACTGGCTCAAGATTAAGGAGCTCAGCCAGCTACCAAATTTCACTTTTGAAACCAACTAAAGTGGATTCAAGCTTACATTCTTGTTCCAACATAAATACTGTCTCAATCCTGCTGGAAGTTCTTAGGTTTATTAAATTATTACAAATCTTCATACTGGGACCCATAAATACATATCAGTCTTGTTCTCTGCTTGTTAATTGGCAACATGTTAATTTAAGGGTTAGGCAAGATTTGTTATCAAAATGAACAAGCTGATGTTTTGAAAATTCAACCATTATCAAATATTACATTTAAAAACTGATATGATTGACTGCATTTTAATTTTAACGACTAATATTTAATGTCCAAAATTAATTCATTCCAAAATTAATTAATTCATTTTTACAGTGTAACTCAGATTGGAAGCAGATTGTGTATTTTCCCAGAAAATAAAGGATAGATCAATAAAATGGATTTGCATCAGTGTGGACTCAGAAGTGGCTACATTGTAAATAAAAGAATAAACTCTACTTCATTAACATTTTTAGTCGTGTTACTGTCAACCCTGGTATGTCACATATTTTTCATGTAAGTTATCTTCGTTTAAAATATCATCACTTTGTGTCTTCTAATAAAGTATCACAATCTGATACTTATCATTTTCAACAATTGTTATGTTTTAATAAAAAAGAGAACAATTGAACTATTAGAAAAGCTTCAAATAATCTTGTGTGCAAGATTCAGTACATGCATGCTTAAACAGCTCCGCAGAGGAAGTTCTGCTTGAGTACAACTCTAAGTAGAATGTTAGTACTCATGAGCAGTGTGTCCAAATGGGTAGCCCATACAAATGCAGCGCAGCGCTCTGCTGCAGCCTCTGGCGACTGGTGATAAGACTCAAGGGGGCTGACTTTCACTCTGAACCCTCCGAGTGTCGTAGCTATACTGCTCACGGGGAAAAGCTCGGTGACCATTTTGATTAAGGGATAATAAACCCATTTATAGAGGGCTTGCAGGTGATGCAACTTGGCGGAGAAAAGATAAAAGAAGATGGTTGCTTCTAAGCCCTTATTTCTGGGTACCACTAAATATCATTACAAACTGCAGCAAAGAGAGAGCAACTTTTTTTTTTCCTCAGAAAACTTGCAGTTTCTGCTTGGAGTAAAACATGAGCATGATGTGTTCTGACCAGTAATTAGATGACGAGTGGCAGAGTTATTATTAATGTATTAATATCATATAATCTGTGGCTCCGCTGTGAGGAGTTGGCAGACAGTTTTAACCTCAACTGACTTTCATCATCAGAATAAATTCTACGAGACCACAGGGAGCAGTTCGGATCTCATAAAGTCTCAGCTTCCCATGATTCCAAAGCGAAACCATAATCAGCTTCCATTTGCCGAGAACAAGCAATATTCTCATTTTAGGAATTTGAATTATGTGACAAGTAACCTTTATGATCTGAAAATTGTCATCCATCAAAGTCTGTGTGACAGTGATGTGAACCTGGTGCTGCACAAATGCTTCTAAATTAAGTACAAATTGATACAATGTGATTCAGAACTACAAGCACTGTTACTCTTAAAATAACTTTTAACATTTCCATCCATATTTGACACATTTATTCTCTGACTTAAAGTTTCCTCTTTTTCTGGTTGAAGTTGAAGAAAATGTTTCATTTTGTCCCCAGTCGCCACGCGTGCTTGAGATATTTTGTCTGATCTTTAAGAAATTCATGGATTTGTTGCTCTCAGCTTTGCAACAATAATTGACTATTTTTTGTTGCATCAAATGACAGCCATACTGAGTTTGGCTGTCATTAACAAATACATAAGAGCAATTTGTGTATTTGTTAAAAAATGAAATGATGAATGGTATTAAAGAGTTTGGATACACAACATGAAACTTTCATATTTCTTTTTATAAAGTTAAGATTACTTTTTTTGTTGCTTTTGCTAATAAAATAAAATTTTTAAAATAAACACCAGCTTTTAATTCGCAACCATTGTACATTAAAAATAACAGAATAAATATATTTTCTAATTATGAAATGGTTCTAATGTCAAAAATACATTTGAAAAAATGCTTGTACAGGTTTTAGTCAAACTGTTTAGATTTTGAACAAGAGATAATCACATTTGTTCCAGACTCATTAAAGAAATGTGATATAGCCCTTTTGTTAAATGCCAACACTTCAAAGTGAGCCCAAATTAGCAGTTTTTATTGACTAACACTTGTGGTATTATCACAGTGTTTACAAAGTATTTAAATCTTGTCATTTGGTCAGTATTTCCATTTTCTATTTAGTACCAATCTGAGGTGAGAGCAACGACACCTGTGAGCGCTGCTTCTGCAAGTGACTCTTCTGCAAATTGGTCCCGGGTCCGTACCTGCAATGCTCTGAAAGATTTTCTCCTGCATTTTACCTGATTTAAGGTGACTGCGAGAAATGCGTTGTTGTAACTCCTAAAAGCTAATTCCGGTTCTGTTCAATCTACCTTTTCTCTCCATGGCTGTAAACTGTCACACTGAAGAGATCATGTTGAGCAGAAGTGATTTTGTTCTCCAAATCAAACTGTGGTACAGCTGGGTGAGTTGGGTCCAATCAACTCGGCGTGTGGAACTAAAATATAGATATTTTTTAAAAGGGTGTCATGAGAATTAACAGAGATTGTGTATTTATTTATATTTTTGTCAGATTTGCAGGAAGTGCAGACATGTTTGTTTGGGTCAAAAAGTCAAGTCAAGTGTATTTATGCAAATTAAATTACTTACAAATGATAAAAGCTGTATATTAGCTGTTGTTACTGTTTTGTTCTTTCCCTACTCCTTCTTTTAATACTCAGCTCCTTTACTAGGAGTTGAGGATTTATACTAAACTCAAATAAATGGTGTTTGACTCATTTATTTTTGGGTCAAACACTGAAAAATTTGCAAATCATTGCGCTAATGGAATACTAATGGGTATGCATACATGGAGGAGGGTCAATGTACTGTTAACGGAATCTCTGTTCCCCCTGAATATCCCCTAAGCCATATTTTATATCAATAATAACTGATGCGTGGTGACTTTTTGACAACTGCTAAGGAGCAGTCCATCAGTTGTGCTGTATCAGTGCAGCATTTAAAGGTTCATGTGACAAGCTTGAGCGAGAAAGAGGGCGTGCGTGTGTGAGTGTGCAGTTGCATTAGTATAACTCTCAGATTTTAGACTGTGTCATGTTTGGTAAATAGCCATTTATCATGCAAACCTCTCACTGCGATGGTACCCACAAGATCCAATCCATTAGCCATACATTAAATGTCCACCCAGCATGTGATCATCTGTTCTGTGTGCATGTGTATCTCAGAATTTGTTATCATACTTAAGGAGTTGTGACACAGAGAGGGGTGTTTCCAGATTTGCTAGTGGAGGGAAGTTGCATGGAGAGATACTTCATATTTTGAATTGCAATCCAATTTTCTTCACATTATAGTGAACACAGGGCAGGAGTCTGTGTGAGTGGCTCTGCTTGCTTGGACCTAGAATGATTATCATGGGGTGTGTGTGTCTGTGTAACAATGCAGAAGACTGATGGATGATAGGGTGGAGTGATAATGACTCTCCACAGACACAGTATCCTTGAATCTTACTGAGTTTTCTTTCCTATTCTTCTCACTTTGATGTACTCAGTTTCCCTGCTCTAGACTTTTCGTCTGCAAGTGGGAGCAGCATTAGAATGATGTAAAGAGCAAGGGGTCACCATGGTTCCACAAGCTATGTATAGAAGACGAAGGAAGCCTGAGTGTAAGAGGGGAAGCCTTGCGTGTCTGAAGTCTCAGGCAGAAAGGGAGATTCCTCTGTGGTACTGAGAAATGTGTCGCTTTTATTACCTAGCAAGCATTTTCTGATGTTTTATGTTTGCTCTTAAAAGTTTGAAGTCATTTTCTGTAAAATAAAATAATCATTTATTTGATTATGAAAATCAGAAAATGTAATTTCAGGTACTAAAAAGCCATAAACATATTTTAAAGTCACATGTACATGGTTCTTAACTAAAAGCTATAGGCATTTACAAAAGCAAAGACAGAAAAGCAAATCCTTGTTGGTAGTAAGAAAAAAGCTACATTTACACTTTGCATAAAACATGGTAAAATTGGCAATCTTATTTTTAAATAAAAAATGACAAGTAATTTAATTATATATAATTAATTTTTATATATAGACACTATGTATATAGTGCCTTGTATTTATTTATTGTAAAGCACTTTAGTTAATGCAAGGCATTGTTGGAAGATGCTAAGTAAAGTCTAAGTTTATTATTGGAGTAAGAGTATATATCTTTATTTCCTGTATTTAGCTGTTAAAATAATCACCCACTAATCTTATACAGTTCATTATTATCCCTCAAAGAATAAAAAACGTGGGTTCCACTTTTCCTTGGTTGTATTTTCCTTATCTTTATATAACACTTAAAAAAGTCAACCAACAGCTTGTAAAACAAATCAGAGCTGAACCTACATTCTCAGAGGTGATAACAGGGATCAATTTTTACAAACTGCCTTCACAGCTTTCAGCAAGTGGGTTTCCACACACTAAGACACACACACTTTCTTCAACAGTTGATTAACATAATGCATCATCCAGCACTTTCCACTAACCTCAGCTATCCCAAAACGTCTGTTTCTAATGAAGATATTGAAAACTATTTGTCCATTTTTTTAATCCCCTGTTTCAAAATGCTTTAAAATTTTAAACTCCTTAAGTCTTAATTAGCTTAGGTGCCAGAGGAAGAAAACATTTCCGCTTGTTTGTGATTATTAATTTAATCTAATAGGTCATTCTTTGAACACTGTCTTCTGTGGGACAGACTCAATTTCTTTTGTTGGATTTTAGTCTTTCACAAGTAAGCTTAATAATACATCAAAAGAGAGAAGAAAATCTGAAAAGAGAAAAGTATGAATTACATAAAGAACGTAAATTTTGCATTTAACGTTTGCAAATATTTGTGTAGTGTAGCTGAGACCTAATAAATTCTACTCGTTTGCATGATTCCTAGCCTCTTTTACACACTGTATGAGCTCTCTCAATAAGAAATTTTGATTTTTGAACTGATGAAGGCTGGGTTATGAATGAGGGAAAAATGTATTTGCAATTACAAGAATTACCTACTACTTTTGTGCAAGTAGGGAAACGCCTCACTAGATTTGCAGAACTATGCCCAAAGTCAGGATCTCACTTTTTGCACAATTCTACACAAGAGATTTTGCAGAGCAACCTATGAGAAATGTGATACAAATATAATATTTTTAGTGTGTAAGTTTTGCAAATATATTTAATTTTGCAAACAATCTGCAAAGACATTTTAATTGTTGGAAGTGCCTGGAAATATTTTCTTGGAATTACTTGTAATTCTAAGCAAACCTAAGAAAAATTGTAAACCTTTTTACGTTGACTGAAACAGCAGGAGAAATAAAAGAAATCATTGATTTGGAATATCTTGCAAGTAAATGTATTAGAAAATATCTGTTGTCGACTAATTTACACTGAGATTCTTGAAATATGACGGCATAAAATTCAATTAGGACTTAGGATGGAGAAGTGAAGAGTAAACCAAAAACTATTATCTCCCTACCCAGAATATTCAGTGGCATACACTGGAAATATGTTTTTTTCTTTTAGAGATTAGATTAAAGGAGATGGTTGTTGGTTGGGCTGTTTTTCTAGGGATGGCCCTTAAAATTGACTCTGAATCAAAGAAAAGGTTTCCGTTGCGCTTTGGCAAGATCTGACCAACAGAAGAAAATTCAGATACTTGCTTTTTACTTAACTAACATAAATTTAAGTCATAGAGATCACAAAGTATTGAAAAACAATTAGTTACTTAGCTGAAGTACAATCAATCAACACATTAGAGATATTTTGAATTAAATCTCTATCTCCACTTGGCTAAGAGAACCAATTCACATAAGAAACCATGCAGACAGGGGATACCGCTCCATCCTGTGGAAGACGGTCCTGACTCGGAGAGACTCAGACGCTGGCCTCGATGTAGAGGGACTCGGAGGACGGTCCCGTCTCAGAGGCCAGTCCCGAGTCAGAGGCCAGTCCCGAATAGGAGCCCGGTCAGAAGTCGTGGGCCGGTCCCGACTAAGAGGGCCTTGAATGCCATCCCCATTTGAAGGCCTTTCCAGACTTGGAAGCCTTTCCCAACTTGGAGGCCTGTCCTGACTCAGAGGGACTCGGAGGCCGGTCCTGACTCGAAATACGATTCCTTCTCGGATTCCGGTCCTCACTCAGAGGGACTGAGAGGCCGGTCCCCACTCGTACACAGGAATATTCAGCTTTTTATGAATTTTTCACCCCATGGGGAAAACCGCTCTGTCCTGTGGCAGAATTGAGAATTACAATTACATAAAATTGATGTTTTAGGTCCTGCTGCAGACATAACTGCCTAGCGGTGGTTAAGAGATTGATTAACTTAAATGGTCTCTATTATGTGTTTTCAAGATATATATTGCCATTCCATAGCACAGTAAGGTCGCCCTGCTATCTTTTGGTTTTAAAAATGTTTCATACATATCAAATATGATTTAAAAGAAATTTGACCCCTGAAATTAGGTCTCTGTCTCTTTGTGCTCTTTTGCGACTCTCCAACTTCAACTCGCCATCGCAACATTTTTTCATTCATAGTTTAGCAGCATTCTTAGGAGTGTTTCACTGAGAAGAAGTCTGTATGATCAGCTCAGCAGATATGCAGTTTAACCAGGTGTTTGCTTTCTGCTACTGCCACTAGTCTGAAGGAGCTGAGAAAACTAAATGAAGGTGAATAAAAATGTCCATCCTTCATCCAATTAACCCAGGTCCTCAATGCATCCTGTTGTGAAAATGGCCTATTTTTTGTGTAATACCCCAAATAAGCAACTTTGCTGGTCTGATAAATGGTGCGCAGGGTGAGAACGTCTGTCTGTGCCTGTTGATGTGACAGAGGCAATAAAGTCTGGGTCTCCCTGCAGTAATATTAGTTTACATCAATTTGGACTGACACCAGTCAAGTTATGGTTATTGTAACACCTCTCCACGGTCCAGCTGATGCCCAGGTCTTTGCTCACCATCCCCAGTGATATGCAGGCAATTTTAAGTCACCCAAGGGATACTCTGTGTCCCCTGAGGGATGACTAGGACTAATCAATTGAGCAGCTTGAGCTGACAAACAGAGGCAGACAAAGAAGGGAAAGATGCGACAAAACGGATGTTATTCTGTCATTCTCTGTTGTTGTGATGTTGGATTCAATTTCCTATTTCTCTTGTGAGTTACAGCCCTCCTCTGTCTCATTTCTATTTTTATTGACAGGTGACCTGAAACTGATTGCCAAGTAGGAGGACAGGAGAACAAATGGAAGGAGTGCAGAGAGAAAGTGGATAAGAAAGATACCAGAAGCAGGACCAGAAGGTTTCCTTCTGCAACAGGGAAGTCTCTTTCAATACAGGACTTTGACTTCAAAAGCAGACAGTGGGCAATATCAGAATAAGAAAGGTAGGCTTTAGACACACTTTAGTCAGGAGGACATTATTCTAAAGGCAGAAAAAGATAATATCCCAACTTTTTATTTCCTAAGACCTTCAGTTACCACCTGGTCTTTTATGATGGAGAAGACATACTCCCTAACTGCCCACTACGATGAGTTCCAGGAAATCAAATATGGTGGTCGCTACAGCAGTGACATCCTCAGCAATGGCATGACCCTTCACCTAGGCGGCAGCCTGGACCGCCATGTGGTCCGAGGAAGGGGCAACACCTGGTCAAACGGCCGAAACAAAGACCTGAGCGGCAACAGCAGCAGCGGGGGCCTTCCTCGCTGGAGCAGGAGGGAGAATTGTCTCCTGTCTGCATTGGTCTTTGCTGCAGGCATGTGTCTCATCCTGGGGAGCATGCTGGCTCTCAAATACATTTCACTTGATGACACGGACTGCAGGCAGGATTGCCAACACAAACGCTCCCTTATGCGGGCAACTCGCTTCGTTCAGGCCAATATTGACATAACCATACAGCCTTGCCAGGACTTCTATTCCTTTGCCTGTGGAGGCTGGCTGAGGCGCCATGGTATCCCCGAAGACAAGCTCAGCTATGGCATTATCACAGCTATTGGAGAGCAAAATGAGGAGAAGCTACAGCAACTCCTTCTGGAGCCGGTTCAGAGACATGGGCCAGAATCTGCAGAGCGGAAGGTCAAGGAGTTCTATCGGTCCTGCATCAACATCAAGGATATTGACAAACTGGGGTCAAAACCCATGACAGAGGTGTTAGACAGCTGCGGAGGATGGGACCTGGAGGGAGCTCCTTCGGGCGCTGCTGGGTGGGAGAAGGAGGACGCCCCCCAGAGGCCAGATTTTAATGAGCTGCTCTACAGGACGCAGGGGGTTTTTAGCACTGCTGTCTTCTTCTCCCTCACCGTCAATGTGGACGATAAAAACTCCTCCAGGAACGCTATCAGGGTGAGCTCAGAAAACTAAATAGGGTTTGTAAATTGCTTATCTGTGCTTGTGTGCTGTTGGCTTTTTATTGGCTCTTTAGGAACTTAATTGGCATGATCATCTCCTTTATCAAGTTCTACTGTCTTGAGAAAGCTCTGTTTTAAATGCATAATATCATTTTTTTGGTGAGGAAGGGAAAAGTTTACAAGTTTTATGAATCTCAGGATTTGTTATAGCAATCTCTGTTCAGTGCAAAATTGTCCGGTTTGGTCAGCATGATTACATTTTGATCCAGAGGTTGAAGATCAAGTCCAGATTCCTTTTATAAAAATTGTGAAATCACCAATTAGCTTAAAATCAATAGTTAATTCTGATACAGATGTTATCATGACATGAAATTGTGAGTTTAATTGTAAATTCCCACACCACACGTTCATCAGGTTGTGTGTGTATAGAGAGCATTTCTGGGAAAAGTGCCTAGTGGAACAGCACTTTGAGCCAGTAAGACTAGAAATGGATCATGTAAGGTCAGCATATTTACCAGTTATTAAATTAGTCAGTTAAAGAAGATAAATGTTTCAAACATAAAAACAGGCAGGGGTAGGTATGTGGGCCAATTGTCATAGCTTATGCTAATGGTGACCGCACCTTGACACCACTTCAACTTTGACATCCATCATTATGTAGAAAAATTGTCTTTTATTAACATGAAACCTCGTTCAATGAGGCTTACACCCCTGGATATATGGTGCTGTGTAATTTTGATCCAGTCACAGTCACATTTTGAATATGTTATGATGAACAATTATTAAATCTCAGAGTTCATAGGCAAATGGATTCTTTGGCCTGTGGGAAACTCAAGGGTTCAATTAACCTGAAAATAACACAACAACCAAAATCCACAAATCATGTTTTCCCCAATTAACTGCAAAGACTTAATCTTGGCGGATGTGTGAAAATAAGAGTTGCTTAACTGTGTTAATTATTAATTACATGTTATGAATAATTCTGACAGTAGGCATTCAGTGTGTCGAATAAAATGTTGGTGTTACAGCAAAGCTTTCAATCACTGACTAGATCTGAATGTACACCTATGGTGTGCTTACAGGGAAACAGATAAAAACATACTTAAATTTACATCAGATTGAATTCTTAACTTTTTATTTTTTTGTGATTTTGTAGATTGATCAAGAGGGACTCACTCTGCCAGAGAGAAGCCTCTACCTCGGTCAGGATGAGGATAGTGTGAAGGTGAACAAAATTTTGCTTCTGTTATCTCTTCTCATCTTTTCCCCTCATTTTAATTCCTTCATTTCACCTATTTTAGTCCCTTAGTTTCCTCAAATTACTTTTTCACGGTGCATTTCAAAAGTATTAATTTGAAACATCAACATTTTCGCATTTTGTCACTTCACGCACAAACTTCAATGCATTTGACTGTTTTTAAGTGACAGACTAACATGATTGCCTAATTACAACATGGAAGAAAAAAAGTCCCATTTCTTAAAAATCTGAAAAGCTTGACATACATATGTTTTATCCTCTTTTCTTCTAATACACTTTTAGAAAATGAGAAGCAACTAACACAAATATTTTTTTCTGGTTTTTTTTTCATTCACTACTGCGGCTGATTAAAACACAACATCTCAGTTCATCTCTCTACATCTTGTCAAGTCCTGAATTCCTTCCTAAACTCAGTATCCTGCACACACATTTCCTTCTGGTAAAAATCACTGCCTTAATTCAAAGCAACCACAAACTGTTGAGTTGGGCAGCTGATTATAAATACATAAGAGGTGTATTATATATAGAAGAAGTTTTTTAAATAAAAATAAACAGTGAGTAATTTTTTCTTCATTTCAAAAATTTAGCTGGTTTTAAACAACATTCTAAATAAATACCGAGAGGCTGGCGATCCCATTATAACAAATTGTGAAAAAGATGAGAGCTGTAGGAGAACTAAGAGTTTATTCTCCACTCTTTCTTGACCTCCTAACCTCACCTGTAATATTTATTGTTGTTTTTGAAACTGGCCTTGATCGTTTTCTCTGCTGCCCTTCATTCAACCATTTCCCCCTAAATCCTCTCTGCCTTTTCTTGCCCCTCCATCTGGCCCAACTGACTCTCCCCTCATTCTTCTTCATCAACCCACCTGTTATCCCTCACCCACTGTGCTTTTGTTATCCCTTCCATTTTGCCACATATCACCATCGCCACCAGTCATTACTGTTGCTGTCGCTGTGGCACCTCCTGTCCTTCAGCGCTGATGTCACTGTATTTCCCAGATCCTGGCAGCGTACAAAGCCCTGATGGAGCGCCTGCTGAGCATGCTGGGAGCTCACAATGCCACACAGAAGTCCAAGGAGATTATAGAGCTGGAGACCCAACTGGCCAATGTGAGCTGAAAGAGCATAGCCTTTTGCACATGTGCAATCATGCATGCTGGTGCTTGTGCATTTTCATTGTTTAACCACGTGTTTCTTTCAACAGATCACTGTGTCGGAGTATGATGACCAAAGGAAAGACATCAGCACAATGTACAACCGAATCACTCTGAGGCAGCTGCAGCGCATCGCACCTAGCGTGAGTGCAGCACACACAAACACACGCACAGACAACACATATAAATTATATTTAGCTATACTGCAGGAAAATTTTATTTGTCTTGTTTTTAGTTTTTTCTTTTTTGTCATGAGACTTTGTCAGATAACTTTTTTTTTAATCAGACAAAGATTAAAGATTATTTTGAGAAAAAAGCTACTCAAACCAATCAAGCCTCATCGTTTAAGGCACATTAGCCCTATTGAGTTATCTTGGTCTAATATTAAAATTATATTGTATATTTGAATAAAAAATTTAAAAAAAAAAGGTATTTTGGATAGGGGAAACGTTTTTTACAGCACTGGACATACAGATGTTTTTGATAAAAACTGGTTTAAAATTTGAGTTCCAGGAGAGCATTTTGTGTAGTGATGTTCGTGTGTATGACTAAGAAACAGTGAACACAGAAAGAGAGAGGCCTAAGTGGCTCTGAAACCTGTGGCAGGGAAGCAGTCTGAGATACAGATTGAAACAAAATGTTCAAGAAACAGAGAAAATGAGGACGTATTGGGGGTTATTCACAGAAACGGAGAGAAGTAGGAGAAACGGAGAGAAGTAGGAGGAAAGAAACAGGAGGTAAAGGTTAGGGGGAAAACAGCGGGAAAGGAAGGAGGAGTCTCTTGAGGTGTGTCTCCTTGCTTGGAAAGGATGGATGAAAGTTGACTTGGAAGAAATGGAAACTCGGCAAAAGATACAGAGCTGATCTTAAGGAGATCAGCAAACAACAGCTACAATAAAAACTTTGCAAAGGCTTAACTCAAGTGTCAATAAAGGGGGTGCGAGAGAGCGTGACTGTTCTGTAGCAGATTGGATGATGCTTCTTAAAAGCAATTTGTTGCAGCAATTTATTCGGAATGAATTACTAGTTCCTCGCTGCTACCTCATTAACTGGCCAGGTTGGTCTTCTCAGTAGCAAGCCTGCAGCACACTGATATACTAAGTCTTTTGGACTTATACAAACATATATTGTAAAACAAAGTTACATTAAAAGGAGTGCTGGGGGACACTTCAAAGGTGGGAAGTAATGGCTGTGAATGCTTTGAAAAAAGGGGGAAGAGTTCATGGGGGGTTACAAAAGCGTCTTACAAAAGCTGAGTGACAGCTTGAGGTAGCAAATAGAACAAGAAGAGATAGTATTTTATGCTATTTTTAAAGAATACACCACTCTCTCTGTCATCTTGTAAAGAGCAAAAATAATCTGTGAGAACACAATAATGCAAAAACATCTTGGAACTAGAAAAAATGCCTGGTTATCAGTAAAAGGGGCTTTGTGGCACACATAGTTGACATTTTTTCATCACTTTGGATACATCATGTTGGGGTTTTCTGAAGCAGAGCAGATTAAGATCAGCTGTGGATAATCACCAATCACAATGTGGACAATTTCTGTTTTTTTAAAAAAGCTTTGTCTTACAATACCAATTTTATTTGATTCTGATTTACCAGCAACTTTTTTCTAACCACTTCAACCTCAGAAATTGTGAGCTTTCAAAGGTGCCATGTGCTGTTATTACTTATGCATATTAGGAGCAGAGTGGATGTAATGTTGCATATGTGGGAGAGCACTGGATCCAAAATAGGGTTGAACCTTTTTAAGACAAAAGCACAACAATTAACTGTCATTAGTGTCTCAGATTACCAATTAGCACAATTAGTAAGGATATTATGAAAACCGCAAACTCCATATGCATGTGAAGAACCAGAATCTGCTTTATTGTGTGCAAAATATTTGAGGATTTGAAGAGCTGACATCACACAGACATAAAGAGTAAATATAGTTTAGAATAAATAAAATCAATAGCCACTACTTAATGATCTGTTTGATAACAAAAACAATCATGTTATGTGTTTTATATGACTGTAAATAAATACAAGTAGTAAGGTCTTTACAGAAAGTTGCTATTTTTAAGAGGGAATAAGACTTTTGGGATTTCTTCCACAGCTTCACTGGAAGCGATTGTTGGACCGAATTTTCCACGACAACTTCTCTGAAGACGAAGAGATCGTGGTGCTCGCCACTGATTACATACAGAAAGTCTCTGACATCATCAAGAACACTTCAAAGAGGTGAGGAAAGTAAAAGCAGTCCTAAGTGTGGAGCCAGGGTGGGGGAGAGTACAATGATGGTGGGGAAGTGTATGGAAAATTGATTTCATTAGACTCATGCAGTTTACAGTCGGGTTGTTTTATATGTGTGTGTGCGAGCGTGCGAGCGTGCGTGCGTGCGTTTTGTGGGCTGCCTGTGGTTGAGGCCTGTCACTGGCATTTGGAGCACAACAGATGTATAGATTAGCTTTTTAGTGCTGCTGTGCATGTATTTGTGTATGTATTCATGTTTGTGCGTGTTTGGAGAGAGTCACTGTTGGGTGAACTTCCAGTTCTACTGCAGCTGATTATTATTGATCTACACTTACACCTTCCACATCTCCTGCAGTCCCAGATAGAGGCACATGAACAGACCCCTGTGCATGTACTTTCACCTCCTTCTTCTTGACAGACTTCAGGGGAGGTCTTAGAGGGCTGCTGCACGTCAGGGTGTGTGTTTCAGCCAGTGACAGCTCGCCAATAGTCACACTGCTCCACACATATACACAATGGCTCTCAGCCCCCATGCATGGCTGACTGGTTGCATGACTGGCGGGTGGATTTCTTGCTTGTCATTTCTGTCTGAGGCAGGATGCATGTCTGTGTAACAACATAACCGCTTTAGACATTTTGGTAATTTCATGAATGGCCGGTTCATGACGCTACCGTCTCATTTAGTCCTGCCATTCCTTCATGTCCTCTCAATGATTCAACCATACCTACAAGTGTTTTATCCTGAAATTTCTGATTGATTTTGTGCAAATCTGGGGCTGGATAACATATTGATTGCTTTTACACAAGATATATAATCAATTTACCAGAAACATTTCCACTTAAAGTCATGATATGAAATTGGAAATTGACAAAAGTCAGCCTATGGTTGGAGATGACTGATGGCTTTTGTTAATGGAAGCTAAACTAATCAGCTAATGCAGTAATAGATTACCTTATCAAAGTGATCAATGGAAAAAGTTCTTTGTTGTCCTGTTTGTGCTCTCTGTGGCACAAACAGGTCAAGTTGTTTGATAAAACAAAACAAGTTCTTGTATTTTACTGAAAAGTTACTTATGAGTTAGTTTCAATCATTTCAAGCATACAAAGATATTTGCAGTAGAAACTAAACCAAAAGTACTTGTTAAGGTTTAGTGTTTTTGCAGTGTAGTCATCCCCAAACTGATGCTTCAGTTTGGGGATGCAATGCCCCAAACTGGTGCTTCTTTTCTTTTAGCCACGGATTGTTTGTTTGGTTTCTTTCTTGCCCACTCAGCAGTCACACTCAACTCTGCTTTAAAAATTAACATCAAATTCTGAAAACTCACCCAGCAAGTCAATAGTGTGAAATGTCTTTCTGTCCAGTTCATTCTAATGAGATTGTTGCTTTAAAATATATATTTATATGTATATAATGGAATCTGTTTGCAAATTAAAGACAAAAAATATATAGTTAGGACAAATAATTGTAAGAGCAGTATGAGATTTAAAAATAAAAAATTTAACAGGCAAACTGCACCAAATATTTGTGCTTTATGAGTTAAGAATTGGATAATGAATAATGAAGTAAATAATATTAATTTTGAAGATTACTGACACCAAATGCAGAAATGGGACTCTTACCTGATATGGGGTTTTTTAAAAGCAAGACTGTCCACTAAATCTTCCTGCTGAGATGGTGGAGAAACAGGTCACTGGACATTTAGCGGTTCTTCACCTGCACAAAGAACCATAACTCAGATTTCTGCAGTGATCATTCATCTGCACTTTGATACTTGGAATGAGCAGATCTATTTCAAAAAGGTCATCGTGGTTATCATTGCGTTTTGAAATGTCAGCTGACTAATTTGCCTAATCTTTGCAGATAACAAAGACCGGCAGAAACCTTTTGTATCTGAAAAGGTTTCGAAATGATTTTGTCACAAGCAGCTTGAGTCTTTTGCTCATGATCAACTTCAACATACGAACTTATAGGGATATTAAGAAATATGGATTATTATTCACTGTTAATAAAATGTATTGTTTTTCTTGGTAGAGTTCAGAATGTTCACCAATATTTTTGCTTTGCTGTGTGTTTTGGTTCTCCTTATGCTCTTTGAAGAAAGAATCTGATTGGTTCTTGTCCTTGAATATGTAACCTCTGAGCTAATTTGATATGGTCCCTCTCTGGCCTCGTTTACACTGAGCTAGAGTTTAGATCAGGCCTAGCCCATCCAAACCCAATCAGATCTGACTAATTAGCTTTAATTATAGATCCAAACAAATTATATTAAGATTTTGCTGCTTTTGTTTAGAGCATAACTTGAGTAAACAGTGTAACTTCTGGTGTTTCTACCTTTTATCTTTGGTTTTACATTTTCCAACTCCATCTGGTCACTTGATCTAACTTCAGGGTGAGTAAAGTGCAAATCATCTGGGATGTGTGATTGATGGGAGTTGAGCTGTATGTACATTATACACATTCGCTACAGTCTAGTGAATGTCTGCATCGTACCTACTTCTCCTAATCACCTACTAGGACTGAAGTAGATTAACACAACTTTATATGGAGCATTTATGTTTGGTCTTCTCTTTGCTGGATGTATTGTGGGTTTTATAAAGTCACCACAGAAACCCGAGTCGGATCCAACCATCAAGCAAATAATTTTTGCCCAACCCAGCCCAAATTTTGGGTAGAGTTCAGGCTACAAATCTAAACGCTTCACTACGCTGGTTCTCAATAAAACTAACATTTTTGTTGTGATCCAGTCACTTGTTTACACGTCACTGGTGATCGGTGTCTTTGACATCGACACTTTTTGAAACCAGAACTTTTTGGAAATGCTCCCCATGGACGGATGAAGTTCTCTGCAGGTGTGAAAGGCCACACAGGTAATGGAGACACTGAACAGACCCGTGAGGCAAAGCAGAATTCTCACCAGATGCTACAATAACAGTGCCAGATAGTGGCATGGCATGACATTGGATTTAAGGGTTCTTAGTCTCATCTACAGTGATGTAGAGTCATGTAACTCTGGAACATTTCCCCAATAGACATCAGAAAATGCCAGCAGTTTCCAGACAGCGTTCTTGTGTAAACAAAGCCTCAATATTCCAAATCCCCTTATAGCTGGAGTTGTCTGTGAAACAGAGAGAGACAGCTGTGCTACAACTGGAAAATGTTGCTGTCTGAGCCCTTTTTAGGAAACTGAATGCCTTCTTGGAAAGCAGAAGTTGTCTTTCACCCCTGGGACAGCTGGAGTAAAGCAGTATCAAAAGGTTCACCCTGCTCGGCTGAGCTGGAGAGCAGGAGCATCTGCATTCAAGTAAAAATTAAATGGGGGGGGAAGTTGTGGTTTCACAGTGAAAATACAAGAATTTGGGCCAAAAGCTCCATTTACTTTGCAAAAATAATTTTGATGCAGGCAATCCACAATAGTCTGCAATAATCAAAATAAAGACAAAGCCTTTCACTGCATAATGACAGCACTCTCATAAAAAGGCTGAGCAATTTCATCTGTGGATGACTTGAACATTGAATGTAAGTTCTGTGGAAGATGACTGTCTTAATGGCGTCATGTGGACTTGACATACATTAGCTGCTCGGTTTCATCCAAATATGAGAATTTGTATTTCGTGAGGCAACGAGCTGCTCCTTTAAAGGCATCCTGCACTTATCAAAGTGCACTTAAAAATCAACATGAGTATTTTTCGGAAGCTTGCTTTTTAGTCTTGTTTACAGAGATTAGATGATTATTATTATTATTATTATTATTATTATTATTATTATTATTATTATTATTATTATTATTATTATTATTTTGCTAAATATGGCTACACCAGCTTCTCCAAACACATTTTTATTTAAAGCACAGTGGTTGCATGTGAAAAAAAAGAAATTTCAGTAAAGCTGAAACTTACTTTCAAATGTAATAAAGTTTATCTGTTTGCACAGATTCTCGTCAATTTTTTGTACATGCTGTTTGCTTTAATTATGACTGCTTTACTGCAGGCCAGCTGACAGCCTGGCTTGTTCACAAGACAAGATAATCTTTATGGACCCCATTCACAGTATTCTGCAATTTGTGGAAAATTAACTAATATTTACTGTTGGGTTTATTATTCAAATAAACTCTGAAAGAATCACTAGGACCCAAAAACTTGTCTTTCTGCAGACAGGGGAGAAGCGTGTCAGACTTACGTGCGTCAGATGAGCTAACTCCAACAGGCCAACTCCAACAAGGTCTTGCAACATTCATTCACTTCTAAGCATAGGCGTGTCATCGTAATGATAATTCAACAGCAAAAACAAGTACACAAGTACAAAATGCATTCCATATTTGTAACTCTTTAAGAAAGCTGCGTTTGAGTATTTACACAGGATGTCACCTATCTTTGTAGACAGCTGCACAAGTGTCTGCACATTATCAGGAAATTTTATTAAGAGAAAATCACATTTTGCAGAAGTATAAAAACAGCAGATACATCAGTAAATAAATAGTCAAAAGTATCAATTCCCTATCATTTACAATCTCAAGACGTAATTGACACTGCATTCTGTCTCCCTGCTTTTTGGGGGGGGTTTCCGGGTAAACCAAGATACGTGTAAATACTGTCATACATGGAGGTGTTACACGGAAATGAGTCATTAATATCGTATAGAAGAAAAGCAGCGAATGCTGCAAGTTAATGCTTGGTTGCGGTGTACTGGGTTTCATTAGAAACTTTTTTAGTTACTTTGAAGAATTAATGTAGCATACTGTACTGTTTGATAACTAGAATTAATTTGAATGCATGACTGAAGAAAAATTGGGATTTTTTGTAAAATGCTTTGAGAAAGTATTTGTTGTGAATTAGTTTTCTTATAAATAAACTGAGTTGCCCTCCACAAAACTTTTTTTTTTTTCTAGGGCAAATTTGATGTTATCTTGATGTGATTTCAACTTAATTTTTGTTTTTTGTTTTATTTTGCTCTCCTTTTGTCAATTATGTGCATGTTATCTTAAAATGTT